CGGGGGCGGAAGGCCACTTGACGATGGCACTGAGGCTCGAATCGAAGTACCCGAAATTCGAGCCGAAGTACCATTGGATGTCAATTCACGAATATCTCTGGAGGCGAATCAGCGTTCTAAACCGGACAAAGCATTCAGGGCGGTACTCGATCCGTAGCCCAAGATACCCATAACGCGGGGGAAATCGGGGCCAGCTTACGCATGATCTTCGAGATGCTACAAGCCCAACAAGTAGTGATAGCCCAGTTACAGAGCCAAATTCATATACAAAGCAGGCCGGATCCCAATCCGCTTCGAGAAATCACCCCCAGAACGGAGCCCGCCATAGTGAAATCAAACGAGCAAGAATCAGGGACCACTCCCGAAATTACTAAATTGCTCGAGGAACTCACAAAATGAGTCAAAGCCAACAATAAGAGAGTGGAAACATACAATGCCAGGTTCGATCAAATCCCGGGGCTCCACCAATGATAAAAGGGATTGATTCAAAACAATTCATACAAAAGCCTTTTCCCTCGAGTGCGGCCCAAAAACTAATCCCCAAAAAATTCCGTATGCCCGAAATTCCCAAATATAATGGTACGACCGATCCTTACGAACACGTTACCTCTTACACATGTGCCATCAAAGGTAATGATTTGGAGGACGATGAGATCGAATCCGTGTTGTTGAAAACGTTCGGGGAGACCCTCTCAAAGGGAGCAATGATCTAGTATCACAATTTACCGCCAAATTCCATCGATTCTATTACCATGTTAGCAGATTCGTTCGTAAAGGCATATGCTGGTGCCATAAAGGTTGCAACAAGAAAATCAGACCTCTTCAAAGTAGAGCAAGGGGGCAATGAAATACTGAGGGAATTCATATCCCAATTTTAAATGGAACGCATGGAATTGCCACCGGTCACAGACGATTGGGCTGTACAAGCTTTCATCCAAGGGTTGAATGAGCTGAGTTCGACAGCATCACGTCAGCTGAAGCAAAATTTGATCGAGTATCCAGCAATAACTTGGGCAGATATACACAACTGATATCAATCAAAAATTAGGGCCGAAGATGACCAGTTGGCAGCTCCGTATAGACTCGTGCAGCAGAACAGGATAGCTACTAAAAACCAAAGGGAGATCGACAGAGAACAAAGGTCGAACAGAGACCGATATCAACCGTACGTCACAAATCGGATGAACAATGGTCCAACACGCAATACAGTTCGGAACAATCGAAGGATTGATCGAGGGCAAAATTCTCGGGGACTTATGAGCAAGTGCGGCTTTGATAAATATGCCGATCCTATAGAAGCACCTCGGTTATCAGAGTATAACTTCAGCGTTGGTGCATCCGCCATCGTGTCGGCTATCGAACACATTAAAGACACCAAGTGGCTTCGACCCATGCAGACCGATCCTGCCTAAAGGAATTCCAATCAAATGTGCGAATATCATGGCACCCATGATCACAAAACGGAAGATTGCAGGCAACTAAGAGAGGAAGTAGCCCGCTTATTTAACAAAGGGCACCTTCGGGATTTTCTGAGGGATAGGGCGAAGAACCATTTTAAAAACAGGGATTTCGGCAAGAAAAACAAGCAAGAAGAACCGCAACACGTCATTCACATGATCATCGGCGGCGCCGATACCCGTCAGGGACCAATGCTTAAACGCGCTAAAATATCAATTGTGAGGGAAAAGCGATCTCGGACTCAAGATTACGCACCCATAGAGACTTTGTCCTTTGATGATAAAGATGCAGAAAGAGTCATCCAACCTCATAACGATGCACTAGTAATATCAGTACTCATGAATAAAACTAAAATTAAGCGTGTGTTAATCGATCCAGGTAGCTCGGCCAACATCATCAGATTGAAGGTCGTAAAACAGCTCAGCCTGTAGGACCAGATCGTACCCGCAACTCTAGTTCTAAACGTATTCAATATGGCATGTAAAACCACCAAAGGCGAGATAATCTTACCAATAAATGTGGATGGAACCATCCAGGAAATGAAGTTTCACGTGATCGAAGGCAACATGAGGTACGGCGCCCTTTTCGGAAAGCCACGGATCCACAGCATGAGAGCTGTACCTTCGACCCTACACCAGGTCCTCAAATTCCCAACATCGAGAGATATCAAAACAGTGTACGGAGAACAACCGGCCACAAAAAAAATGTTCGCCGTCGAGGAAGAGAAATCAATATCCTTGCCTTTGCCGATAAAGGGATCAGGATCAGAAGGAGAACGAGACACCAAATAGGAATCACATATGTTGGCTTCGACCCAGCCAGATAACCAGAAGATCGAAGAAGATGATGGTCAAAGGGTCCCTCGATCTTTCATGATTCCCGATGACTCCGAAACCACCAAATCAACAATTGAAGAACTAGAGCAAATCACACTAATCGAGCACTGGCCCGAGCGAAAGGTATACTTGGGAACGAGGTTGAGCCCCGAACTCAGGAAGAAACTTGTTCAATTTCTTATCGATAACATTGATTGTTTTGCCTGGTCCCACTTAGATATAATAGGGATCCCACCGGACATAACGACGCATCGGCTAAGCTTGGACCCTAGGTTTAGACCGTCGAAGCAAAAGAGAAGACCCGAGTCCGAGGGAAAGCACGTATTCATAAAGGACGAGGTAACCAAACTTCTCAAAATAGGGTCCATTCGGGAGGTGAAATATCCCGAATGGTTAGACAACGTAGTTGTAGTGCCTATAAAAGGGAACAAACTTAGAATGTGTGTGGACTATAAGGATTTGAACAAAGCATGCCCCAAAGATTCCTTTCCGCTGCCCAACATCGATCGCATGATCGATGCCACGGCCGGCCGCGAGATCCTCACTTTTCTCGATGCCTATTCTGGTATAATCAAATCCAGATGAACCCGGGGGACCAGGAAAAGACTTCATTTGTCACCAAATATGGAACATATTGTTATAATGTGATGCTCTTCGGGCTAAAAAATGCAAGGGGCTACTTACCAACGCCTAGTAAATAAAATATTCGAAGAACAAATAGGTAAATCAATCGAAGTTTATATTGACGACATGCTAGTTAAGTCCCTGCGCGCAGAGGACCATTTGACCCATTTGCAGGAAACGCTCGAGATTTTGAGGAAATACAACATGAAACTCAACCCCAAAAAATGTGCTTTCGGGGTTGGTTCGGGCAAGTTCCTCGGCTTCATGGTGTCAAACCGGGGAATCAAGATTAACCTCGATAAAATAAAGGCCATCAAAGACATCACCATCGTGGACAGCGTGAAAGCTGTACAAAGACTAACGGGATGGATTGCAGCCTTATGCCGATTCATTTCGAGATCATCAGATCGAAGTCACAAATTTTTCTCTCTACTCAAAAAGAAGAACGATTTCGCTTAGACCCCGGAATGCCAACAAGCATTGGAGAAACTAAAACGATATTTATCGAGCCCACCACTACTTCACACTCCAAAACTGGACGAAAAACTTTGTTTGTACTTGGCAGTATCAGAAATCGTCGTAAGTGGTGTCCTAGTTCGAGAAGAGCAAGGTACGCAATTTCCCGTTTATTATATAAGTCAGACCTTAGAAGAAGTAGAAACTAGATATCCGCACCTAGAAAAATTGGCACTTGCACTGATAAACGCCTCTAGAAAGTTAAGACCGTACTTTCAATGTCACCCCATATGTGTATTAACTACTTACC